CTTTGGTGACCTGACGACACTGTTTCCAATCTATTTTAGAAAGAGGACGATATTTTGGTCCTTTTTTTGAAAAGTTTTTAACCTCTCTGTCCTGGACGATATTGAGGTTCCCCGTAATAACATGGCCATAGGTAACATATCTAAACTTCGATGATACACAGTTTCAAGTTAAAGGAGTACTATTTTCTACATTGGCGTCTGATGTTACCGACGTATAATTAAAAATTAAACTTCTGCTGGGTTTTTTGTATGTGTATGAAATAATAGGTGGTTCTGTGTTATCAAAATAGGGAGGTATACACTTTTGAACGGTAGAGTCATTAAATATACTAGATAAATTGAGTTTGTTTAAAGGTTTTGTTAGCTTTTGAGGTGGATGCCGATATTTTTGCTCTTTGTAAAGAATATTACCATAAAAAATGGATGTGAAATACCCGAACGTATAAGATGTCTGCATGTTGATTTATATTTACGAATGATGTCCTTGTACCGATGATAAAATTTAGTAAATGTTTTGACTAGTTTGTGATATCGAAAACCCTGGTGTAATATTTTTTCAGTAATACATAAATTTCTCTCGCTAAAATCTAATACGTTGTTACAAACACGAGCGAATCGTACAAGTTGAGATAGATAAACACAATAAGATGGTGACAAGAGAACGTCACCATCTAAAAATGGATAATTGACAATAAAAAATGAAAAATCATCTCTTTTATCATAAATTTTGGTATTGAGCTTCCCGTTATTGATATAGATATCAAGATCCAGGAAAGGGCAGTGGTCATTGTTAGTATTAGCTTTATTCAAAGTTAGTTCAACAGGATAAATTTCTTTAGTATACATACTGAAGTCGTCATTATTGAGGGCCAATTATAGTTTATTTGCATAATTTTTTTATTGAATGTATCTCTGAAAATATAAATTGTACATATTTCACTTTTAGGATGTTCAGATGCAGTTCAACGAGTTCCAAATTGCGTTAAAAATTTCATAAAAATCCAAAATTCCCGACTATTACATATACACTTCGTCTTAATTTTGAAATAATGGTTGCCGCAGTCGTAACCCAGTCCCTTTTTTGATATGATCGTTGTCCCTAGAACGTCGGTCTGAAAACTGTTATCTTGTGGAAGCTCATGTCCAAACAAGAACACTAGCCACATCTTTTCTCGGGACCATCGTGACGAGACAATGATGAAGAAGCATTATAAGAGCTAGTAGTGCTGTCGCAAATAAAAACAACATTACGACTTTGACAAATCATAATGATTAACTAAGAATTTCTTTACATCTTCGCCAAACTTGAAAAGCCGAATATTAAAATATGAATTTGATAATAAAAAATGTCAGTTTTGTATAGAGTGCACATGTTTTTTTGAAACCAAGGTAAAATATATCGGAAAAAAGGCAAGAATCAAAGCAGGACAAAGCATCAATAACTTGCTCAGCCCCTCCTGTAAAAAAAGTTATAATTTATGGCCTAGGAAGGCCTTCACGACGGTTGCGATTTATGAGGCAGGAGATGCTAACCCTTCCGGAGTACCTGTTCTCTTCATCGGGTTTATGAGGGAGTTTGTGTTGTCCGAACATTTTTTTTGGCATTTGTGTTTTACGATTTTGTCTTGTATACCGATTGTTTGCTTTCGAATACTGGTTCTCTTATGGGTACTCAAGACTACGTTTGTCTCTTAGAAATTATGTATGCTATAACCCTTGTCTTATTAAGACGTTTGACAAAACATTTGATCGTTCAATTGGATAATAAAAGGATTTGCTCAAAACACAAGATTACAAATGTAAGCATCATGTTTAACATAATAATAATTCAATCAGCCGTTTTCCACTATCTGTTCCAATATCGTTTACAAATTCAAGAGCACAAAATCGACGTAGAAACAAGGATTTTAAATCTTTTACATACATATCCGTTTATGAAGGGACTTTACATGTCTCATTAAAATTGAGCATGACGTTTTATTATCTCACAACTTTGTAATTCAAGAAATTTTAAGTCACATAAAGATATAACAATTTGAAAAGAAAACCAAAAACATAATTTTTCTGATGGACAATTAGGACAGTGAAAAATAAGTACAATGATTGATATGGATACAATGGTTAAAATGACTTGAATAAACTCAAAACTATAGACGAAGTATAAAGAATAACTGTCACAGTAAATAGAGGGAATCTTCGCCTTTCTGTATTGTGATTAAAAGTTGAAATCAATGCAGAAAACTTAATAGCCAATCAAAATTTGGTATAAAAAATAATGGAATATTCGAAATGATGACTATATTGACCGAATTTTGTGTGACGAGCTTTATTCTTTTAATCGAGATTTCTTATCATGTGTGCTGTACTTTTTTGTCTTGTATTTTCGTTTGTCTGTCCCTCCGGTATAGAAAAACTACGTGTGTTTCAGAATGGTGTACTTGATAACTTATTCAGATATCTAATACATCAATATTGAATGAAGAAATAATAAACTATGAAATAAATATACAATCTATTTTATTATTTTGGCCAAATGATTGTACAAAAAAGGTCCAAGTGATTGTACAGTAAGCGAGCAAGCGATTGTACAGTCAATGAAATTTTCCAACATAAAAAAAAAAGGTTTATTTTCTTTTCTACTGAGACGATGGTTATCAAACTTTCAGAGTGGTTAGACTATATATCAGAAAAGAGTTAATTGTAAAAAATTTTGTAGTGACGATTATCTTTTTGCATTTTTTTAAAAATTTTATTCCCTGTTGATGGAGAATTTTAAGCGATTTACTCGGAGCTCAACCATTTAAGGGAAAACGTCTGGCTGCATGTGTCGTTTTCGGTATTCGATTGGTCTAGATGTATATGTAGAATGTTTTCGTTACCAAATCTTCAAGCAGAAACGTAATATTGTAACGTGTGCGTTAATCAAAACTTACATTCAGTAACTTGTTGTTTTTTCGATTGTCGGAAAATGAAGAGCTTCTGACAAACATATATAGTTATGTTTACGTCAAGGTCGTTAAATGAAACGAAAAAAAAAAACTCAAAAAACTTAAGATTTTGCTAATATCAAACGATATCGAATTCACATAACTATCACCTGAAATAGAAATAAACGAAACAAAGATGGCTACAAGTTCGCGCAAAGACAAAAATATCAAGCAAACATATACAAGTATACAAAGGAAATGGGATCCCTAGCCCTACCATTCCGAAAGAAAGGGGAACGAACATTACAAAATCAACCCAAAGCCCCCACCCATGGGACCCATCCTCAGTATGGTACTGGGGTGGGGCTATTTTTGTCCATAGCTTTCTTTGGACTTCATTTCTTTCCTCTCGGGACAAACGGAGTGAAGGGGAAACGTCACACTGATATATTTACAACTTTGATTCTAGTCAAGATAAGTTTGCACATCAAACTTTTTGAATACTAACAAAGAAATAGTTTTTAATAATATTTCATTGAACAGGATTATCATCGTGGTCTGTCTCCTCTGAAGCATGAAATACAGGTCAAGGTTACCTACATTTGGAAGCAAGCCGCACACCTAAGTTACATGCTTGTAGGTTAACTGGTAGCTGAGAACTAAGATTGGACGTGGACATGTACGCCGAGGGTACTCAAACAGTTCACCTTACTTCCTAAACATACTCATCTCATATTCAGTTTTTTGTTTTGTCAGTTAAAATAATTGTAGAGTACACTATAAAAACGGCGTTTAGGTAGCAGTTCTGGAAGAGGTTGGAAAAGTTTCAACAAATGCGTGTTTTCTGAACTTTCCGTTTCTATACAGCAACATATATCTCGTCATGGAGTCCATATTTCACAACTGATACTTTACACAAGGGCGTGCGTGCAGTACAAAGGATTCATAGATAGAGGAGTATCTTTATCAAATAAAATATTTAAACAGAGTTACAGAAAAAAACTTCAATATCCTCACTTAAAAATCTTATGGTCGCCATCACGATTTGGTTGAGCATTATGGAATGTCAATTTCACAAATGGTTATGGATGTGTTCCCGTTGTCGTATTCCTAGTCCGTCCTTCTTATAGTGACCATGCGGTATGGGCTTTGCTCATTGTTGAAGGCCGTACGGTGACCTAAAGTTGTTAAAATCTGTGTCATTTGGTCTCTTGTGGAGAATTGTCTCATTGGCAATCATACCACATCTTCTTTTTTATATGACTTACTATCCGCTTTTACATTACATTTGGACAATGAGCAGGAAAAGTTTAACCTTATCGAGTACCTGATTTCACTCTCGGTTTGTTTGAGAGTTTGAGAGTTCGCATTGTCCATGCTTTGGTTTTTAGTGTTTTCGGTGTTTGTGTTTCGTGTTTAATCCCACACCTTGTTATTTTGTCCTCGTCTGTTTTCCTGGAGGTGCCTTGTCCTTTGATCATGTTGTACGAGATTTTACCGCTATTTTATGCATAAGTTTTATTGTTGCTGTTTTAACCTCCCACCCCCCAAAAACGAGAGTTAGATCCGGAACTGAAAACCGGAATCCGAACCCACGTAAATGGAAGAAAATGACTTTCTCGGTTCTCATTAGTCATAGAAAAGAGAAATCATTGTTAAAGAACAATGAATTTCATTGGCAGGTTATATTAATGTCTAGTATACAAAAATATTAACGTATATACACAAAGAATTCCGTATATACGTAAATCGAATTCTGTATATACGTAAATTGATTTACGTATATACGTAAATCGAATTTCGTATATACATAATTATTTCTGTATATACGAAATTATTTACGTATATACATAATTATTTCTGTATATACAGAATTCGATTTACGTATATACGGAATTCGATTTACGTATATACGTAAATCGAATTATGTATATACAGAAATAATTATGTATCAAATGGTGGTCCCTTATCAACCTTTAAACCCTTCCCCCATCCCCCCCCCCAAAAAAAAAAAAAATCCAGTCCCTTTTTAAACGTACATTGCTCTCACACTTGTTTTAACTAAATGTTTACCATATATATTGAAATCATTTCAACAACATGCTCCTGTCGTACTGACGTGTTTTCATTCAGCAAAGCTCTGCATGACCTGCATCTTCAAGGCTGAGACTACTGACAGTACTGTTATAGTAGTCTCAGTTCAAGGTCACAAAAAGTTTGTCTTTCTTGAACTGGTTCCCTGATTTATTTGGATAACAGACGCTTTTTCTATCGACACTGCCACTCTGACTCTTTCTTGGCTCTTGTAGATCGAACTTTAACAGATTGAAGGTCAGAATGTTTGTTCCGATTCCACAGACCTGTTACCTGTTCTGTAAATTCCACCTTTTCCAGATGAACCACTTCAGTTAGGAAATCCTAAGGCTAAGGTAGGATATGGGGAAATCTGGATTTAGAATATTTTTTTGTCATCTGCTTGACTAGTCCGAGATTACTCTGACGTCCAACGGCTGTTTTGCCAGACAAGCTGGGGCCGTGGGACACGAGATTACTCTGACGTCCAACGGCTGTTTTGCCAGACAAGCTGGGGCCGTGGGACACGAGATTACTCTGACGTCCAACGGCTGTTTTGCCAGACAAGCTGGGGCCGTGGGACACGAGATTACTCTGACGTCCAACGGCTGTTTTGCCAGACAAGCTGGGGCCGATTACTCTGACGTCCAACGGCTGTTTTGCCAGACAAGCTGGGGCCGTGGTCCCACGGCCCCAGCTTGTCTGGCAAAACAGCCGTTGGACGTCAGAGTAATCTCGGACTACTGCTGGACCACAATAAAGTCAATGCTTAATAGATAGAGCAATAATTTCCCTTCTACAGTTTAATAAAACAAATTTAAAATTCAGAAATAAAGATAATTCATTGAATCAAGACTACTATAAAATATGGACCTATTCAAGTACACCTTTTAGCCAAAATTTAGGGTGTGCTTGACTGGATTGTATTTTTAAATGTTGTGTAGGACTTTTTGTAAACGATAAATGCTGGCATGGACATAATACTTGTAAGTAAGTTAAATTTTATAATGAAAATCTGTAATACTAATAGATAAAACTAATTAAAAGTCTGTGTGTTTTTTTTTTACAAAAATCTAGGCTTTACTTGCACAAAATCCCTATTTTCTATTCATCTACATCACAGGTATTTGGGGCATGGACCCTCCGTATTGGGCCCACTTAAAAAAAAATCTTTTTTTTTCTGTATTTCCAATTTTCTACAATGTTAGACATATAACCTGATAACAAGTCTCAACAATCCATTATAGTCGATTACAATACCTTTTTTTACTATCAACACAAACCCCAAGATAAAATGTAAAAATGGCTTGTCACTTTTATTCTGTATGTATATATCTGTTTAAAATTTTTTTAATACATTGTTGGCGAGCCATCTTATGTCTTATTAATATCGGGGGTGTGGAAATACTATGCCCGACTCGCCCGACTCGTACATTTGAACATCCGGACAAGTAATTTATTTTGTCTGAGTTGCTCGTAGACAAGTAAAATAATATGCATGACAAAGTTTAGTTCAAACAAAAATAAAGAATTATTTTCAAAACTTATAAAGATGTTTAATTTCATGTAAAAGAAACCAATGATCAGAGAGTAAAAAACATATATTTAAGTCAAAACATCAATGTTCATGACGATGAATATTAAATAACAGAAATAGATCGATTACCAAAATTGAAAAAAAAAAATAAGTATGCGAACCCGGGTCACGTAAACATTGCATTGTCTTTGTCCATTGACCTGGGATTGTCGATTAGGATATATCCATCATTTAACGGAAGTGTCATTTCATTAGTTTTGTATCGAGTTTCTGAAAAATACTTAATAAAAATACAGGGCAATCAAGACAAAAAGAGTGACGAGTCGTGTAGAAAATGTAAAACGCAAACGGAGAAGGACAAGAAGTATGAAAAAAAAAATCGGAAGGGAGCATTTCAGACATCGTGGGTATCAGATTCCCCCTGGCTATCTAGGGAAGAAAATTCGGAAAATAAATTGAAATTTTGTATAATTTGTAGACAGCATCCGACCCTTGCCGATCAAAAGTCAACCTTATTTGTTGGCAAAGTGGTAGATAGAAGGGACACTTTAATTGCCCATTAACTATCAAGAAAAAGCCAAGCAGTTGAGAGAAACAAATAAAATTCAATAGTTAATCTATTATTAGTTTTCATTTCTTCACTCACTGTCCTCAAAATTTAGTATATATGTACCTACTGGCTAGAATTTATAATTAAATATTGCTGCAAAATTGTCCTCTAAGTGTCATTTCATTCGGTTGGTTTGCTGTTGGGTTTCTGTCCCATTGATGTTAACCCATTACCTTCTTTTATTTGTACACATAAACACAATGACTTTCATTTATATTGTGATGCAAAACAGTTCTAAGAATCATGCATACAAGCTAACAGTTAAATACTTCAATATTTATTGGGACTTTCAGGACAAGTAACTTTTTTTACGGACAAGTTAAATTTACAGTTTTACTTGCCCACGGACAAGTGCTCACAACATACATATCCACACCCCTGAATATTTACATGTACTTGGGACTTTTTAAATGTTCAAAACTGTTCTATTTGCTTAAAAGTAACCTGGAGAAATTTCTAGACACCATTCATTTAAGGTCAAAAGCCTTGTGACCTTAGGGTGAAACCCTACTGGAGCCCCAGTGTATGAATGCATGTACATATCTTACCAAGGAGGTTGATCTTACATTAGAGTCGGTTGGGGTAATTCCGTACACTTTCGGTCCTAAATGAAAGTCATTTGGTTCCCTGTTTGATAAACAAGAGAAATGTAATATGTATTGTATTTACCTGCCTGTACGAAATTACCCGGATCGGATCGACTATAATCTTTATCATGTTTATAGATTAATCATTTATGCTAATTCTTTTTTTTTTTCATTAATAAAAAAATTCTGCAGATGATTAAGTATAATTTTATGAATAATATTTTTTTCCAACAAGCTATAAGAATGTTTTAAATTTTAAAAATTTACAGAATCTAAATAACAAAATTTTAACTTCGCATTATTTGTTAAAGGGAGACCCCAACAGTATATACTCAGTTCATCATTATGGTAGGATCACATGTCCTGTGCATGCTGTGTTTATAGTACATGTATAATAGATTTATTATGTCTCCTCTATCTGAAGTTTGGTTAAACTGCCTACTGGGAAAAACATTATTACATGATTACATTCCCAATTACATGTACTACTATTAGTCAATTATGTGTGAAAAATTTCAATTTCATGGGTTTTAATCCCCCAGGATGTGAAACATCATAAGAATTTGTAGATATAAATGAAGAGATATGAAAATTTTATCCTCAGTACTGTGTCAGGCACTTAACGACAATAAAAACATTAATTTAGGGTAATAAATATTCCTAAAGAAATGAACATTGAGAAGTTCTCATTCTGACACACATTTCAATGATCAATTAAATCATCTTTTATTAGGGAGCTAACCATTTGATTTTTATGGGTGGGCTAGGATGAAAAATTTTGTCCTGCATTCTTTTTGATGATTAAGGCATCATGATAGATAATATTTAAACTCTTTCCTTACTTGAAAAAAGCACCTGGTTCCCTAAAGAGCACCAGGGTGCAAAATTGCAGGGGGAGGGTGCAGAGCCTCTATATTTACTGCTCTCCTGGATACTGATTTGTAAACATGTAAAAATAAGGCCGCTAATGCCCTCATGTATCATCAACAAAGAAAGTGACAAATGAATAATTTTATTTCCTTTTTGCAATTTCTCATTGATGTGATGTAAATTTTCTGTTAGAAAGTCACACGATTCTGTATCTATATACTAGTATGACAGTTTGCCTAAGTTTCACAAGACTGTTTTATCTTATTTTTGCAGAATTTTTTTTTTTCTAGGTGTACAACTGTGCAAGTATTGAACATCGCAGCTTGAAATGCAATGTGACCTAAAAGACAACATAATAATGGACAGATGTAAGTATTTGGTAATATAATAATAGTTAAAGATATGGGGAATGTATGAAATTGTTTGAAAAAGTCCACATATAATACACTCCTTGAAAGTAGATTTTTATCTTTTTTACTGTTCTGCTAAATGAGGGTTTGGATGACTGAGGGGGTCCTTTATGTCTTTATTCTTTAAATATTATACCATTTTCCTCTCTATTTAATATTTATTTTGCCCATTCATATTATCTCTATTCACTATATCTGTGTGCCCCATTATTCAATATTCTGTATTATTTTTGCAATTGTTTCTCTATTCTTGATTTGTTTGTCCTTTATTCTGCACTTTTTTGTCAATTATTCTCTATTCTGTAAACCCCATCCATACTCTCCATTATGATATATATATTCCACTATTCATTCCAATGAAAAGATAAAAAAAGTTTTATGTTGTCCATATTCTAAATTGTTCTCTGATAAAATAATTAGTTACATAGTGTGCTAGTGACCTAATACGGTATATATGGGGTCAGTAAATACCATATGGGGATTCGCTCGAATCCCCATATGGTATTTACTGACCCCATATATACCGTATTACGTCACTAGCACACTATGTAACGAATTTATCTTACCGACTATCTTAACATGTGGTATTTAGACTAGTGACCTATCAAAGTGAGCAAGTCTTCAATACCGTTAGCATTAAGAAACTACTTCCATTTGTCATACAAAAAAAAAATGCCAACAATAACAACTTGTTAGCTTTAAATGTGTTTTATGAATTTATTTCAATCTTTCATCATCAATTTGATCGTCTGTTGAAACCTTTAAGATTTTTTCTCAGTACAGTTTTGTTATAATAAAGGGATATAACACCACTACTAACCGTGTATAGAAATAAGCCCCGCTTACTAACCTAATATGGAATATACATGGTCTCCATGCGGTTGCTTTTAACCAATCATATTCCTACAAGTGTATAGGAGGTAAGATAAATATATATACCAGCATATAAAATTTGATTTCTCAATCACAAGAAATATCTTTTATGGTTTTGATCTCTATATATATATATGGAAAAATTGGTAAAATAGATATAAAAAAAATGAAAGAAATTAAAAAAAATGAAAGAAATGGATGGTAAGTACATTTGAATATATGATAGGAAGTTTTCACTTTGCTGGCGGTTTGTACATATATTGAAGATGTGCATGTGGTCAGGGTTTTGATTTTTATTGATATTTGCTCTTTTGCGAGACAGTTGAACTTTGTCATTTTTGGAGTATTTACTTGCATAAGAGGTGCATAGCTTTTCAGGATCACTCCTCCTACAGTTTGAAATGAAATGGCACCTTCATCAAAAACTTCATTTTAATGAGAAATAATTCAAATTTGAAGCATACAAGTAGTGAAATAATCTTTCCCTTTTAAGTTTTCATTTGTATGACGTCGTATTTTGAAATGATGTAAAATCACTAAATCATTCATGAAATTTCACGGAATTTTATTTAAATCTTAATTATATACATTTTAGAAGGTTTTTAATGCATTATTTCTTTTTTGTTAAATATGCATTGAATAGAAACAAATTTTATGTATTTGTTTTTCAATCTCAATTTGCTGAAAATCCCGGGATCCCTGCATGCATGTGTATTGCGCATGAATAGATCACAGTGAACTGGTTACGAAAGTCGTTTCGGAAACATATGGTTTATCAAGTGTAAACCAAGGAAAAAAATCTAATTCACCAATCCAATTCAAGTATTTATAGATATGCAAATCATATAAGAATTATTGCCCTTTAAATTTTACACAATTTGTTCATGATGTTTGCTTACATTTAAAAATCTTCTGCTCTGAAACAACTGGACCGAATACTTCTAAACTTTACCTGAATGTTCCTTAAGGTATCTAGTTTATAAAGTGTATCCGAAGTTTTGATCCATCAACAAACATGGCTGCCATGGCTAAAACTAGAACATAGGGGTCAAATGCAGTTTTTGGCTTATATCTCAAAAACTAAAGCATTTAGAGTGAATCTGACATGGGGTAAAAATGTTCAACAGGTGAAATCTATCAGCCTTCAGCTGAACCGAACAACCCATTGTTAGGTTGCTGCCACTAAATTGTCAATTTAAAGGAAATTTTGCAGTTTTTAGTGATTATCTTGAATATTATTGAAGATAAAGATAAAAAAAGGTTCAGCGAAGTAAGATCTACAAAAACGTTTATGTGACCAAAATTGTCAATTGACCTCTTTTAAGGAGTTATTGCCCTTTAAAGAAAATTTTTCACACTTTGTTCATCTAGTTTGCTTGCCTTACTTCAAAAAATCTTCTGCTTTGAAACTGCTGAATTTTTTTGAGCCAAACTAGGGCTGAATGAGTTTCACGAGTATTTAGTATAATTTTTTTATTTTATTTCCTTGCACGTCAAGAAACATAGCCACTATGGCTATAATGGAACATAGGGGTAAAATGCATTTTTTTTGCTTTTCAAGAAAATATGACAGATACAAAGAACATTTAAATGGCATTTTTAAGCCACTCATTAATAAATATTGAAAAGCAAAAATAATCATCGATGAAAGATTTTCAGCAAAATGTTACAGGTGAGCGATTAGGGCTCTTGAGAGCCTCTTGTTTTAAGATATAAATGGGAGAGCTATCTTTTTAAAGTTTGAAATTTTTTAGAGATAATTTATTGTAATATTGTCTGTCTGTTCGTCCCCTCTTACACTCTTTATACATGTACTTGGATTTCAGGATTTTATATGCAGAATAGCTTTGACAGGCTCAGCTAATTCTAAATGGTCTGGAACCCCACCTTTTTTTTTTACTATCAATGCATTTGAATGGGGACATATAGTTGGAACCCCCCCTTTATCCTGGGTTAGGACCACCCAGAAGTAAATTATGTAAAAATAAAATTCCATTTTTTCCGTATTTTACTTATAAATAGACTTAGTTTTTCTGCCAGGAAACAACACATTCACTCTGTGGTTAAAGTTTTTGTTGAGCCTGCGACTTTTGTCGCAGAAAGCTCGACATAGGGATAGTGATCCGGCGGCGGCAGCTACGGCGGCGGCGGCAGCGGCGTTAGCTAACTTCTTAAAAGCTTTATATTTAAGAAGGTGGAAGACCTGGATGCTTCATACTTTGTATATAGATGCCTCATGTTACGAAGTTTCCGTCAGTCACATGTCCAATGTCCTTGACCTCATTTTCATGGTTCAGTGACTACTTGAAAAAAAAGTTCAGATTTTTTGGAATGTTAAATTCTCTCTTATTATAAGTAATAGGATAACTATATTTGGTATGTGCGTACCTTGCAAGGTCCTCATGCCCGTCAGACAGTTTTCACTTGACCTCGACCTCATTTCATGGATCAGTGAACAAGGTTAAGTTTTCGTGGTCAAGTCCATATCTGAGATACTATAATCAATAGGTCTACTATATTTGGTGTATGTAATGATAGTAAGGTGTACATGTCCAACTGGCAGGTGTCATCCGACCTTGACCTCATTTTCATGGTTCAGTGGTCATAGTTTAGTTTTTGTGTTTTGGTCTGTTTTTCTAATACTGTATGCAATAGGTCAACTGTATTTGGTGTATGGAAATATTTTACGATCTTCATGTCAGTCTGGCAAGTTTTATTTGACCTTGACCTCATTTTCACGGTTCATTGCTCAATGTTAAGTTTTTGTGTTTTGGTCTGTTTTTCTAATACTGTATGCAGTAGGTCAACTTTATTTGGTGTATGGAAATATTTTACGATGAACATGTCAGTCTGGCATGTTTTATTTGACCTTGACCTCATTTTCAAGGTTCATTGCTATAAATGTTAAGTTTTTGTGTTTTGGTCTGTTTTCCTAATACTGTATGCAGTAGGTCAACTATATTTGGTGTATGGAAATATTTAATGATGTACATGTCAGTCTGGCAGGTTTTATTTGACCTTGACCTCATTTTCATGGTTCATTGCTTATGTTAAGTTTTTGTGTTTTGGTCTGTTTTTCTTACACTTTAAGCAATAGGTCAACTATATTTGGTGTATGGAATGATTGTAAGGTGTATATGTCTGTCTGGCAGGTATCATCTGACCTTCACCTCATTTTCATGGTTGTTTGGTCAATGTTCAGTTTTCCTGGTTAACTTTTTTTCTTAGATACCTTAAGCAATAGGTCAACTATATTTGGAATGATTTTAATGTGTACATGTCTGTCTGGCAGGGTTCAAATGACCTTGACTTCATTTTCATGGTTCATTGGTCAATATAGAATTTCCATGGTTTGCTAGGTCTGTTTCTTTTATACTATAAGCAATAGGTCATCTATATTCTGTGTATGGAGGGATTGTATTAAAGGTGTACATGTATTTCTGGCTTGGTTTATCTGACCTTGACCTCATTTTCTTGGATCATAAATGTTAATGTGATACTTGTAGTAAAACTTTATATGTAGGACTATCAACATAAAATCAATGGTCAGTTTAGTAGGCGAGACATTTCAGCATGTGCACTCTTGTTAAAATTTTAATAACTTAATTAATTTCTTATACTATTTTGGATTTGTACCAAAGTTGGACAGAAGCTTGTTTATGATCAAAAGCTAGTATCTAGAAGGAAATTTTGTAAAAAAATAAATCCATTTTTTCCGTATTTTACTTTTAAATGGACTTAGATTTTCTGCCAGGAAACAACATATTCACTCTGTGGTTAAAGTTTTTAAAATTTTAATAACTTAATTAATTTCTTATACTATTTTGGTTTTGTACCAAACTTGGACAGAAGCTTGTTTATGATCAAATGCTATAGTATCTAGAAGGAAATTTTGTTTTCTTCCAGTTAAAGTTTTTAAACATTTATTTGATTCATAAACTATCCTGCATTTTTACCAAACTTGGACAGAAGCTTCTTACAATCAAAAGATAGTATCAAGAGGAATATTTTTATTGATTTACTTCCTCATTTTTGTTGAGCCTGCGATTAACAGAAAAGGTAGGCGAGACACTGGGTTCCGCGGAACCCTTACAAATTTTTTCTAATACTATATGCAATAGGTCAACTATATTTGATGTATGGAAATTTTTTATGATCAACATGTCAGTCTCGCAGGTTTTATTTTACTTTGACCTCATTTTTCATGGTTCATTGCTCAGTGTTAAGTTTTTGTGTTTTGGTCTGTTTTTCTTAAACTATAAAAAATACTTAGTAGGTCAACTATATTTGTTGTACGGAAGGATTGTACCTGTCTTGCATGTATCATCTGACCTAGGCCTCATTTTCATGGTTCATTGGTCAATGCTTAGTTTTCTTGGTTATAAGTCTGTTTCTTAAAAACTATAGCAATAGGTCAACTATCGATATTTGGTGAATTAAATGATTGTCAGGTGTACATGTATTTCTTATTATTGGTTAATCTGATCTTGGCCTCATTTTCTTGGATCATGTAAAGTTCATATGAAACTTGTAGTAAAGCTTTATGTTTAGGACTATCAACATAAAATCAATGGTTAACACAGAAGGCAAGACATTTCAGCGTGTGCACTCTTTTTCAGATATTATAATTGGTGTATGAAATGATTGTAAGGGGTGCATGTCAGTTTGGTAGGTTTCATCCTTGACCTCTTTTTCATGGTTCAGTATTGTATGTTAAGGTTTTGTGTCTTTGTCAGTTTTTCAAATACTATAAGCAGTACCTTAACTATATTTGGTGTATGGAATGGTTGTAAGGCTTATATGACTGTCTGGTAGGTATCATCTGACTTTGACCTCTCCTTCATGGTTAATTGGTCAATTGTTCAGTTTTTGTGTTTTTGTCTGTTTTTAAAATACTTAAAGCAGTATAGGTCAACTATATTTGATGTATAGAATGATTGTAAGGTGTACATATAAAAAAGAGGATGTGGTATGATTGCCAATGAGTCAACTCTTCACAAGAGACCAAATGACACAGAAATTAACAGCTATATATAGGTCACAGAACAGCCTTCAACAATGAGCAAAGCCCATACCGCATAGTCAGATATAAAAGGCCCCGAAATCACAAATGTAAATCAATTCAAACGAGAAAACAAAGGCCTAATTAATGTACAAAAAAAATGAACGAACAACAAACGACAACCACTGAATTACTGGTTCCTGACTTGGGACAGGCACATACATACAGAATGTGGCAGGGTTAAACATGTTAGCGGGATCATAAATTCATATATTTTAGAAAACTTAAGAAAATCTGTTATATTATAGAAATTTTATTAACATTAACAATATTAAATGTTGTACTTTAAACTATATATATTTGATTTATGCTTTTACATTAATATTTTAATTCCCGTATTGCTATGAAATTTATTATATGTTTTTTCTCATGGCAGCTCTAATATAAAAATGTATTTTTCTTTGAAGTTCATTATCTTCTTCATTTCTAAACACTTGTTTAATTATACACCTTTTTTTCTATAGCCATTATTATTACAGCTGGTCAGTGGTCATAAACCTATGAAAATGAGTCAATTATTTAACCACAGAGCACTACCCACATGTTCTTATCCTGTGTATTTGATGAATAATTTTAAAACTAATTTTCATCAAAACTCATTAACAGGGCAAGATATGGAAATTTATTTTTCTTCTGTGGTTTTAGAATATTAAGTAACAAAATGAAAATGATATTTTGATAAACATGTTGTTGTCTTTGTATTAATTGTGCTCTCATAAACCATCAGATTAGTACCACTATGTACTGTACTGCAATAAAAAAAACATGAATCAATATCAGGGAACTTGAAGTAATTGAAAACCAATACCGTATATATAGTTGGCTATAAAAGGGCCGGACATGTACAAACTTAGGGTTCTGAAGAAATGTTCGATTGCCTATAATTGCCTACATCCACTTCATTTTAACTCTGACGGATAGTTGTTTCTGGCTGTCATTAGTCTGTAGGTTTGGTTTCAATTACTTCAAGTTCCCTGATATCAATGGATATTGATTCATGTTTTTTTTTATCGCAGTACAGTACATACTAATCTGATGGTACTAGTTCAAAACCCAAACTGCACTCTAACTTTACTTTGCCTTAACCAAGTGTTATGAAACTTATACACAATGCTTATTAACACCAAACACTGATCAAGTTTGGGTGTCGTCTCTTTCACCATTCTCATATTATGTTACTTTATTAATAAAAAAAATTGATAAATTTGAGATATATTTACAAGCAGGCCGGGACATCTGTGTTTCATTGACACATTCTTGTTTTATTTATTACATATTTTAGTGTATTAAAAGTATTTATACTGCTTCCACTTTTCAAAATTCTAACAAAGCTCTACCTCTTTAATGGATAAATAAATGATACTAGTCAAGAACTCAACAGATATTTTTTTTCAGGTTCTCTGGTCGTTCGTACTTGTTGGCCACACACATGGAGATATTGATCCTGCTTTCAGCTAATATCAGAAAAATTAAGAACAAAGGATGCTGAAACTGTGCAGTCACTGTTCAGGATTATTCCAGATGTTTCAAAAGTGAAATTATAATACAATATATGTTACTGGTTAATTCCTATGATTAGTAATTTTAAACAACACACAGAGACTTTGCATTATTGTTTTACAAGAGAGACACCAAAAGATGCAATCAACATTTATCATTTTTATCAAAATACACCCAGGACAAACCATGGATACACTTAGCTTGAAATATTGTGCTTTCTTACCAGAATTGCCTGGATGTAAAAGAAATGAAGAACCTAAATTCATGACAACAATCAGGAGATACGCAGAAGAACTAGTATAAATGGTTAAAGATGAAAGAATGCAGAATAAGGTACTGTCACATTCAGTCTTAATAAGAGTCCTGCTGCTTTATATATATGCATTTTTAGGCAGTTAAGCTGCCTTATGCGTGCACCCTAGATTTGTGTTCTACCAAATAAATGCTGAAATGCATGCCATTGTTATTATCTAGGTGGCTAGATTATGTTATTCATAACTAATTGGACATTTTTTTCATACTTTTATTTCTGGAATACAAAAAATATGACCAGAAAAACCTTAAATGATCGTCGAACTACCCAAAACTTTTGAAGTTGCACATAGGAAGTAGTGCTCAATAGAAATCCGTACGTAGTTTATTATCCCCTGTGCTTTTGGCTACGATGTCAAAGAACAATTGTATGAAATATTTCATTGCCGAAAATCGGTAATTACAAGTCGTTTATATTTCGCAAATGGCAAAATGCACAGGAATATTGTTCATGTACAACAAATCTCTATGATAGAGGAAATATATAAAGATATATAATTAATGGGTGGTAATTTTTAACTTATCTTGCCAAATAAGGTGGTTGCTATTTTATGAATGAAACGAGGTCATGAAACAGATGCGGACATCGACATTGATGGGATGTTTTAAGTAATGTGGACAACTCGTCCCCGAGACAAGTCGGACCGAATCCACTCAAACCGTCTAAGAAGACAACTTTGACCGTTTGTCAGATTTACTTAGGGTTTCATAAAATATTAGACTAACATGTCTAGCGGAGCCATTAATCTTTTGTTTGTGCATTGGGGTCTATTTAGGGGTATTTGGAGGGGCCTGAAGAAGGGAGGGGTTTACTATAGAACCCTATGGGATTTATTTTTTTTAAATTTTCAAATGACTATTTCTCGAAAACAGTAAGTGATAGACACATGCAGTCTTCAGTAATGAGAACAGGACAATAAAAAAAATCAACCAAAATATAGGGTGAGTCCCTGGGGGTCATCCCAACCCCCTTTAATTTGAAAATGTACTTTCATCTTGTAAACCGTTGCGATCCCCACCCCTAAACATTATATATACTTGTATGGGACAATAAAAGAAATCAAATGAAAATAATTTGGGGGAGTTCCCGGTGTCGTCCCACCCCCTCCTGTTTGAGAACTTGGAAATGGTTGAGATCCCCACCCCTAAACCATATATATTCATGTATGGGACAATAAAACAAATCAAATGAAATATATGGGGAGTCCCTGGGGTCACCCCACCCCCTCCTGTTTGAGAACTTGTAAATGGTCGAGATCCCCACCCCTAAACCATATATATTCATGTATGGGACAATATAACAAATCAAATGAAATATATATGGGGAGTCACTAGGGTCACCCAACCTCTCCTGTTTGAGAACTTGGAAATGGTTGAGATCCCCACCCCTAAACCATATACGTTCATGTATGGGACAATAAAACAAATCAAATGAAATATAGGGGGAGTCTCTGGGGACACCCACCCCCTCCTGTTTGAGAACTTGTAAACAGTCAAGATCCCCACCCCTAAACCATATATATTCATGTATGGGACAATAAAACAAATCAAATGAAATATAGGGGGAGTCCATGGGGACACCCCACCCCCTCTTGTTTGAGAACTTGTAAACAGTCAAGATCCCCACCCCTAAACCATATATATTCATGTATGGGACAATATAACAAATCAAATGAAATATTTGGGGAGTCCCTAGGGTCACCCACCCCTCCTCTTTGAGAACTTGGAAATGGTCGAGATCCCCACCCCTAAACCATATGTATTCATGTATGGGACAATATAACAAATCAAATGAAATATAGGGGGAGTCCCTGGGGTCACCCAACCCCTCCTGTTTGAGAACTTGTAAATGATCGAGATACCTACACCTAAACCATATTTATTCCTGTTCATCATTTCAAAAAGATTTGAATGACATACAGGGTCAATCTCCTAGGTGTCACATATGCATATCACTTTACTAGACCAAACCAATATGGACTGGACTTTGCCAAATGTCAGGAGACCATAGGAATGACGAATTATGGGGGCTTTGTTTGGGAGACTTCGTAACGGCATCCTGTTACAATTATTTCTTGTTTATTATAAAATTTTATTGATGCAAAAAATGAGTCTAGGTTAATTGAATTTACTTTAATTATTTATTAAATTATTTCTGGGCCTATAATAAATTTCATTTATGGCTCATTTTAAAGAAAACATATAAGTCTTTCAAGCAGTGTAAAGCCCGAGAATATTTGACCAACTGTTTTATAATCACCTGTCATTTTATTCCAAACTTGGTATGGAGTAACATCATGCACTTGGGGTTGAAGATGGGGATCATTTACATTGATATATGAGTTGCTTTTGAAAACCTTGATGAAATATTGATTAATTTGCCTAAATAATCAATTCTTTTAATGAACATAAATGTACAATATACGAATGTTTAATGTTTGTTCTTTCAAATCTTAAAAAAAAATTGAAGCAAAACTGCCACAGTTTTATAATTACGTTTGCCTTGGTTTTTGGTTAACAGCCTACAGCGCTTACAGTGCTTTGATTTTATGCCCCGTCGTAGCGGAGGGGGCATTAAGTTTTACCCTTGTACGTCTGTACGTAATTTGATATAAGAAGATGTGGTATGAGTGCCAATGAGACAACTCTCCATCACAATTTGTAAAAAAAAAACATTATAGGTCAAAGTACGGTCTTCTACACGGAGCCTTGGCTCACACCAAACAGTTAGCTATAAAAGGCCCCAAAAATGACTAGTGTAAAACCATTCAAATGAGAAAACCAAAGGTCTAATCTATATAAAAAATGAGAAACGAGAAACACTTATGAACCACATCAACAAACCACAACTACTGATCATCAGGTTCCTGACTGAGGACAGGTGCAAACAAATGCAGCGGGTTTAAACGTTTTAATAGGTACCAACCTTCACCCTTACCCGAAACAATAGTGTAACATCACAACATAGAAAGACACAGTATAGATGGAAAATTTTTTTACAAAATAAATAATTTTGTTGTTCATAGTACGAGAAACAGAAGTAAAAATTTAAAGTCATACTAAACACTTATCAAAGCAGCTGGTATATATCAAAAATAGAGAAACATTGAATAACAAAAAACATTGCGATTGTATCAACAGGTCAACATGAAAGTACGATTTGAGAGTACTCGCAGCTACGTATACTGAAAGCTAGTTAAAAGCCAAAATTAATCAATTAATAATAAAAAAATCATGCATCAGAGACTAAAATCAACTAAAACATATCCCAGGGATTTAGTATTTAATATCATGCATGGACAGTCAAAGAAGACATGACTTGTGCAATGCCAAAAATAAAAGTATCGACAGGCTGTAGGATAGTTATGTTAACCTCTATATAGAAAAAATTAACGTGGATTTGTATTTATACATCCCACTTAAAAAAAATACAAATTTAGTTATGTTTTAATTTGCTGATGACAAAATCGTTATTTGTGCTAATGTAAACTATAATCAAACATCTTAAATTACAACATTTGTAAGATAACCTTTACTAATAAGTTTGTTTAATTTAGGTTCGATGAGTTTACATGGATCACACAGTGATTTCCGTGCTTTTAGTACAATATTACTGTAAAATTTAGGATGTGAAATACCGTTCTTTATAAGTTTTCTTCAGGTACAGCCAAATTTACTAATCAAATCTTTGTATCTATGAAAGAATTTAGTAAAAGTTTTAAGTAATTTATGGTAACGAAATCCCTGACTTAATAATTTACCAGTGTAAGTCTGTACGTCCCATTAATTGGTTTCTGTTCTCTAACTTTAGTTTGCCTCAACCAAATGTTATGAAGCTTATACATTGCTTATTACCACAAACCACAAATCAAGTTTGAATTTTGGTAGCGTCACTTTTACCATTTTAGATCTAGAGTTATGCCTCTTTACAAATGGAAAAATTGCTGATTTTTTTGGTGTCCGTTCTCTAACTTTATTTGCCTGAACCAAATATTATGAAACTTATACACAATGCTTATTACCACAAAACAAAGATCAAGTTTGAATGTTGGTGGCCTCACTTTTACTGTTCTAGAGTTATGCTCCTTTACAAATAGAAAAATTGCCAAGTTTTTACACGCCAGTTTACGGGACGTATTATGGTATATCGTTGTCCGTCCATCCGTCTGTCGTGAACATGTCTGACAATCAAAAACGCTTGAACCAATTTACATGAAACTTTGGTGAATTAGTTATATCTGTTGACGTGTGCTCCCTTTCGTTTTTTATAAATTTTAGGCTTTGAGTTTCCAAGTTTTTGTTTTTTTTTCATTAAAAAAGGGGGAATTTCCAGTTTTCGGACAATAACTAAAAAAAAAATTCACCAATTTGCAAGAAACTTTGGTGATTTGTTTATATCTATTGACATGATCTCCCTTTCGATTTTTATAAATTCAAGATTTTACGTTTCCGAGTTATGGAGTTTTATTCATTAAAAAAGGGTGAATTTCCAGTTTTCGGACAATGACTCTAAATGCTTTCTGCAGTTTTCATGAAACTTTAGTGAATTGTTTATATCTATTGACTTAAGCTCCCTTTTGATTTTTATCAATTTTAGGTTTTAAGTTTTGGAGTTATGTGTTTGTATTCATAAAAAGGGGGGATTTTCCTGTTTTTTTTAACAATGCTTTGAGCAGTTATCATGAAACTTTGGTTACTGGTTGTATCTATTAAGATAACCTCCCTTTAGTTTTTCATGAATTTCTGATATGACATTAAGAAGTTATTGAACTTTATTCTTTGAAAAAGTGATGGGCATATATCATGCACTCATGGTGCAGCTGTTTATTCATTTTAGTTCACTATAAAGTTAAGTTTGCTTAATCAAATGTTCAACAACTTATACACAATGCATATTACATTGTACCACAAAACTCCGATCAAGTACTCATTTGGGTACTGTGTGTCACTTTTACCATTCTTGATTTATTACCCTTTAAAATGTTATATGCAAGCGGGGGCATCATCTGTGTCCCATGGACACATTCCCCATTTATTTATTCACAGAATTTTGAAAGGAATAAATAATACATGATTTTCACATAGATAAAACATATTGTTACAAGAATTTATACCTGTTTAGTACAGATGAAATGCAACTCAACAACAGAAAAAATAAATAAACAGCATAGATGCAGTTTTGACCTATATATACTTGTGTAAAAATAAGGAGATGGTACATGATTGCCAATGAGACAACTATCCACCAAAGTTTGAATAAAGTGGATGTAAGCAGTTATAGGTAACTGTACAGCCTTCTACAATGAGAAAAACCCATACTGTATAGTCGGCTATAAAAGACCCCGAGAAATCTAACGGCCTAATTTATAACAAAACAAGTAGCGAAAATCAAATATATAACATACATATAAAACCAACGATTTCCATGGAAGTATTGGCTCCTGACTTGGGGACAGGCACATAAAGAATGTGGCAGGTTGAACAAGTTTTTGAGTGCTCAACCCTACCCTAACCTGGGACAGTGGTGTTACAGCACAACTTAAGAACAAACTATAAAAATCAGTTGAAAAGGTTTCATCATATTTTTATAGGTCAACTGTCTTGAAATGATTAACAAGTGATTGTAGAATTTAATAAACATCGCAATTGTCAATTGAAAAGCCAAAAACAAACAAACATCTACTATCAACATCAAATTCCTTAAAAACAAAAGCTTTAAGATACAACTTTAGATGACAGGAAAAGTCTTGACTTTGGATAGGCACATGGACTTGCAGTAGTTTCTGAAAACTCAATATTGCTCCCCTTTTAAATCTTGATCAGTATTTGTAAAATGAAAAAAAGTTACATAGAAGAATGCAGGTTGCCAGTAACATTCAATTGGAGAAAGGGAAAAGATTACTCAACTCTACACTGAAATAATTTTGAAAACTATTAATGGCTATACTATCTTTATTGTAAAAAAATGTTGGAAAAATTATGTACCTTATGGTCATGTTTTGTTTGAAACGTCACACAAGGCGTTTCACACAAGGCAATCAAAATGTTCAGAGGGGGAAATGAAGTTTTTTTATAAATGTCAAGTGTGAAAGTCTCAACCTATCAACATGATCAAAATTGTTGACCTCACTATTAATATTTACATTTAGCATGTACAGTGGAATAGAATGTTTTTGTTATCTTTTATTAAATGTTATTTTACTTTGCTCTTATAGGCAGGATTGAAAGGAAGAAAGAACTAGTCATCAGTAAAGAAACATATCAATTTATATAACATGTAATAATTCCATCTGAATATAACAAACATTGCACATGTTATGAAGATTTGTTCACTTGTCTACTCTGATTTGTACCCGTAGTTATGTATTTGTAATATTATATAGTACATGTATTTTATTTTAGAACAGTATTTTTTTTTTCCTGTGGAGAACATCAAAGAAATTTAGAAAAATATAATTAAAGATAGTTTCTTCCATTTTTTCTGTGACAAAAAAAAAATTGTGCAAATTAGGAAAATGAAATGAGGCTATATTATTAAATATTTTTGAGTTTTAGTTTTTTTTTTATACGACCGCAAAAAAATTTTTGTGGTCGTATATTGGTATGACGTTGGCGTCGTCGTTGTCCGGCGGCGTCGTCGTCGTCGTCGTCGTCCGGCGTCGTCCGAAGACACATTGGTTTTCGCACTCTAACTTTAGTTTAAGTGAATGGATCTTTATGAAATTTTACCACAAGGTTCAATACCACAAAAGTAAGGTTGGGATTGATTTTGGGGGTTATGGTAATAACAGTAAAGGAATTAGGGGCCAAAAAGGGGCCAAAAATAAGCATTTTTGTAACTTCCAGACATAACTTGTGTGTTAGTGTATGGATCTCTCTGACATTGTACCACAAGGTTCCATATCACTAAAGGAATGCTGGGACTGATTTTGGGGGTAATTGCCTCCAAATTTTAGGAATTAGGGGCCAAAAAAGGGGCAAAAAACAAGCATTTTTCTAGTTTCATGACAATAACTTGTGTGTAAGTGTATGGATCTTTCTGAAATTCTACTACAAGGTTCCATATCACAAAGGGAAAGCTGGGTTTGAGTTTGGGGGTAATTGCCCTAAACGTTTAGGAATTTGGGGCCAAAAAGGGGCCAAAAAACACATTTTTTTCTAGTTTCAAGACAATAACTTGTGTTCAAGTGTATGGATCTCTCTGAAATTGTACTGCAAGGTACCATACCACAAAGGGAAGGCTGGGATTGAGTTTGGGAGTGATGAATCATAATGGGGGTTCAAAAAATTTTGGGGGGGGATTTATTTTTTTTTCCTTTTTTTTCTTTTTTTCCTTTTTTGTTTCTTTTAAAATTTTCCATTTTAAGTTGGTTATTTCTGATTTATATTTAAAATCAAATAATAATGATATGGTAGGAGATACACACCAAACAGGATGTGTAAATTATTATATAATAAGTATTGTGCAATAGCAAGAAATTTTCAATTGCACAGTATTGCACAATAGCAAGAAATCTTCAATTGCACAGTATTGCGCAATAGCAAGAAATCTTCAATTGCACAGTATTGCGCAATAGCAAGAAATATCCAATAGCACAATATTGCGCGATAGCAAGAAATTGTCAATTGTACAGTATTGCGCAATAGCAAGAAATATTTAATAGCACAGGATTGTGCAAAAGAAGATACTTCCTATAAATTGCTTATTTCTTGACCAATTTCAATGGGGTTTTATTCTTGATTTCATGGGGTTCTTTAATATGCTGAATCTAACCGTGTATTTAGTTTTTGGATTTTGGGCCCCGTTTTTAAATTGGTCCACATTGAGGTCCAAAGGGTCCAAAATTAAACTTTGTTTGATTTCATCAAAAATTGAATTATTGGGGTTCTTTGATATGCCGAATCTAACTGTGTATTTAGATTCTTAAATTTTGGTTCTGTTTTCAAATTGGTCTACATTAAGGTCCAAAGGGTCCAAAATTAAACTTAGTTTGATTTTAACAAAAATTGAATTCTTAGGGTTCTTTGATATGCTGAATCTAAACATGTATTTAGATTTTTGATTATGGGCCCAGTTTTCAAGTTGGTCCAAATCGGGGTCCAAAATTAAACTTTGTTTGATTTCAACAAAAATTGAATATATGGGGTTCTTTGATATGCTGAATCTAACCATGTATTTAGATTTTTGATTTTTGGGCCCCGTTATCAACTTTGTCCACATTGAGGTCAAAAGGGTCCAAAATTAAACTTTGTTTGATTTCATCAAAAATTGAATTATTGGGGTTCTTTGATATGCCGAATCTAACCGTGTATTTAGATTCTTAATTTTTGGTTCCGTTTTCAAATTGGTCTACATTAAGGTCCAAAGGGTCCAAAATTAAACTTAGTTTGATTTTAACAAAAATTGAATTCTTAGGGTTCTTTGATATGCTGAATCTAAACATGTATTTAGATTTTTGATTATGGGCCCAGTTTTCAAGTTGGTCCAAATCGGGGTCCAAAATTAAACTTTGTTTGATTTCAACAAAAATTGAATATATGGGGTTCTTTGATATGCTGAATCTAACCATGTATTTAGATTTTTGATTTTTGGGCCCCGTTATCAACTTTGTCCACATTGAGGTCAAAAGGGTCCAAAATTAAACTTTGTTTGATTTCATCAAAAATTGAATTCTTGGGGTTCTTTGATATGCTGAATCTAACCATGTATTTAGATTTTGGATATTGGACCATAATAGGTGAATGTCCAATTTAAAATTTTTAAGTTCTTAGACCACATTCAATCTGTGTTAGAAACCTATGCTGTGTATATGTATATTTAATCACAATCCAAATCCAAAGCTGTATCAAGCTTGAATGTTGTGTCCATACTTCCCCCAACTGTTCAGGGTTCGACCTCTGCGGTCGTATCAAGCTGCGCCCTGCGGAGCATTTTATTGTAACTTCCAGACATAACTTGTGTGTTAGTGTATGGATCTCTCTGACATTGTACCACAAGGTTCCATATCACACAGGGAATGCTGGGATTGATTTTGGGGGTAATTGCCTCAAAATATTAGGAATTAGGGGCAAAAAAAGGGGCAAAAAACAAGCATTTTTCTAGTTTCATGACAATAACTTGTGTGTAAGTTTATGGATCTTTCTGAAATTGTACTACAAGGTTCCATATCACAAAGGGAAAGCTGGAATTGAGTTTGGGGGTAATTGCCCAAAACGTTTAGGAATAAGGGGCCAAAAAAGGGCCAAAAATAAGCATTTTTCTAGTTTCCAGACAACAACTTGTGTTCAAGTGTATGGATCTCTCTGAAATTGTACCACAAGGTTCCATATCACACAGGGAATGCTGGGATTGATTTTGGGGGTAATTGCCTCAAAATATTAGGAATAAGGGGCCAAAAAAGGGGCAAAAAACAAGCATTTTTCTAGTTTCATGATAATAACTTGTGTGTAAGTGTATGGATCTTCCTGAAATTGTACTACAAGGTTCCATATCACAAAGGGAAAGCTGGAATTGAGTTTGGGGGTAATTGCCCAAAATGTTTAGGAATTAGGGGCCAAAAAGGGGCCAAAAATAAGCATTTTTCTAGTTTCCAGACAATAACTTGTGTTCAAGTGTATGGATTTCTTTGAAATTGTACTGCAAGGTACCATACCACAAAGGGAAGGCTGGAATTGAGTTTGGGGGGTTTTAAAATTTTCCATTTTAAGTTGGTTATTTCTGTTTTATATTTAAAAGCAAATAATAATGATATGGTAGGAGATACACACCAAACAGGATGTGTAAATTATTATATAATAAGTATTGTGCAATAGCAAGAAATTTTCAATTGCACAGTATTGCACAATAGCAAGAAATCTTCAATTGCACAGTATTGCGCAATAGCAAGAAATCTTCAATTCCACAGTATTGTGCAATAGCAAGAAATATCCAATAGCACAATATTGCACAATAGCAAGAAATTGTCAATTGTACAGTATTGCGCAATAGCAAGAAATATTCAATTGCACAGTATTGTGCAAAAGAAGATACTTCGTATAAATTGCTTATTTCTTGACCAATTTCAATGGGGTTTTATTCTTGAATTCTTGGGGTTCTTTAATATGCTGATTCTAACCGTGTATTAAGTTTTTGGATTTTGGGCCCCGTTTTTAAATTGGTCCACATTGAGGTCCAAAGGGTCCAAAATTAAACTTTGTTTGATTTCATCAAAAATTGAATTATTGGGGTTCTTTGATATGCCGAATCTAACCGTGTATTTAGATTCTTAATTTTTGGTTCCGTTTTCAAATTGGTCTACATTAAGGTCCAAAGGGTCCAAAATTAAACTTAGTTTGATTTTAACAAAAATTGAATTCTTAGGGTTCTTTGATATACTGAATCTAAACATGTATTTAGATTTTTGATTATGGGCCCAGTTTTCAAGTTGGTCCAAATCGGGGTCCAAAATTAAACTTTGTTTGATTTCAACAAAAATTGAATATATGGGGTTCTTTGATATGCTGAATCTAACCATGTATTTAGATTTTAGATATTGGACCATAATAGGTGAATGTCCAATTTAAAATTTTTAAGTTCTTAGACCACATTCATTCTGTGTCAGAAACCTATGCTGTGTCAAATATTTAATCACAATCCAAATTCAGAGCTGTATCAAGCTTGAATGTTGTGTCCATACTTGCCCCAACTGTTCAGGGTTCGACCTCTGCGGTCGTATCAAGCTGCGCCCTGCAGAGCATTTTATTACGTCCTATTTTAAAATTTCATTGGCATTTGAAGTAATGAGTTGAAACCAGTTTTTATCAATCATTTGTTTTTTCAAGATGTACAAACAGTACAGTAGGTTAAGTCTTTGGTGTACATTAGTTTACTATGATGTTAAGGTCAAATAAACTTGAAACTTTGTACTTACAAGTGTTCATTATGAAGTCATTTTTTTAAATAATTACAAATGAGTTACTGAACACTGAAATGTGATTGTAGACACACATCTCAATCCCATAGAGCACCGCCCTCCTCACCAGCCTCTCAGTAACCTAATGGTATATTGACTTTGAAAATTATCTTTGTTTACACTGTAAGGTTTGTGATAAGTTCAGTTTAAGGAGAACCATTAATAGTATGTTAGGGATATTTTATTTGCAGTTGAATAAGCTTTTGGACAACGCATGTGCTTGGGGATTTTTTTTTACCTTGAACCTTCAATCATGGTCAAATAACTAAGAATCTTTTGCAAAGTTTACATGTTAAAGTTTATGCTTAGGCCAGTTTAAAATCGACCACTTATCAGAGGCGGATTTAGAGGGGGCCTGGCCCCCCCTCTTTTGTGGGACAAATTTGGTTGATTATATATAGGGAATCACTGAAGCATGACAAAAGAGATTCAGTAGAGAGCAACCTTTATATTTCTTAGAAAATACTTTTTTCGGAACTGTAATGAAAAGTATGCTTATAAACAAAATTCATATTTTTTTTCAGTTAAAGACATATTTTTTATGAATCATAATATTTCAACAAATGTTTGAAACAAATTAACATAAAAACTCTCTAAATGTATTAAAATTCTGTATTGTAAAATCTTATCAATTTTGTTTTTTCGGGATTTTTCCCAATATATGTTTAAGAAATCTGTAGCATAATTTTTACTTGTAGATTTTATTTCGGGATTTTTCCCGAAATGGGTAAAAAAAGTCTATGCAACAAGTGTGTGCTTGATAATAGATTTATATTTTCGGGATTTTTCCCGAAATGTGAAAAAAATTATTAGTCATGATTTCTAGCATATACTTTGGGTTTTCGGGATAAATCCCGAAATATTTGAAGACATCTGTGTTATACATTTTGTACTTAGTTTATTTTTGTCTGGATTTTTCCCGAAATGTGTTTCAGATCTATTTGTCAAAATGCTTTGCCAACATATATGTTATAAATAATAATGTTGAAAATGATTTCGGGACATTTCCCGAATAAAAAGTTGTCACATACATCTTTACCACAAATATTTTGAAACTTTAATATATTTTGGGAAATTTCCCGAAAATTAAATGTAAGTTTTATCAATTATATGAATAAAAACAGGGAATATTGTAAAAATTGTGTGTTTCTTTATGAAATCTGCATTCATTTATGGTAAACATTGAAAAATATTATAAAAAGGAATAAAATGGATTTTACTCTTTTAAAATAGAGTCAGTTATATATAGTTGGTAAATTAGTAAGAGATTCCGTTACTACAAAATATCTAAAACCTTCAATGAATTCTTTAAAAAATACTCAAATTTGTACATGGAGAAACCTCGTGACAAACGGGATATCGCATCCAAATTATTACGGTGATGTTGTTTATAGAGCCCGTAAACTTAGATAGGACCCTGTAGACGTATCGATCCTTTAGATAAATTTATTTAAAAAGGTAAGCAATTAAACATTGTGATCCCATTTTGAATATTGTTTGTATCGGTACAATCATTGATTTGGCTATCAATAAATCAAAACATTAAAAACTAGCATTCACTAATTTCGGGCACTCTTAGGTCGGTTAAGCCCTTTCTTCTTGATTTTAATAATTTGTGTTTTATATTTTTCTGTTACACCCCTGTTCTAGGTAAGATCACAGTTTTACCCCGTCACATTTTGTATGTACTTGTCCAAAGTCAGTAGCTTGTAATCCTACGGTTGGTTTTGGTAGCTGTGTGCAATTATTGTTTTTCGTTCATTTCATGCCTGGCCCTTTTATTTTCTATTATACGGTATCAATGTTCCTCATTGTCATTGGCCATATGGTGATCTATCGCGTCCTCCAGTGGGCTCTCATTTGGGGGTCTGATCCTGGATCCCGCTTATCATTGTTATAATAAAGCTTGTATTTCACGTGTCCCTCCCGACTTCGTTTCCCGTTTTCACGCACAATAATTTGACTTTCACGTGCCATGCTTATAAAGAATTGGCCAATCCTGCGTCTCGCTTAGACCCCAATGAGATCTACTTCAGTTTCTGGTGGAAAAATTTCTCGTTTCTGATCATATCATATGTACTTCTTTAAACCTGTAGATTTACTGTTAACGTGTTCAAGTCCTGAATACTGTAAACCAACTTATTTTCGCGAGCGATTTATTTTCGCGACTTTCGCGAGAAGAAAAATAACTTGAATATAAATCGTCGCGAAAATTTAAAATTGGATCTTTCCTTATCTAACTACATCAAGTAAATTTGAAAATCGCGAATTTAAATCGCCGCGAAGTGGGCTAGGAAGGACTAAACGCGAAATAAAGCAGGGGCGGGTCCAGGTAAGGGCGTAATGGGCGTACAAAAAAAAAAAAAAAAAAAAAAAAAAAAAAAAACTATCGTTATCTGCTTATATTGTATTGAATATGGCAATTTATCATATTCATTAATTAAATACATACTCTGATTTCTTTTTATACTGATTCCCCCATCCGATAGGTGACTTGGACACCTTTTTTAAACAACCAAAGCGGTTAAGTAAATCTATACATGAAATGGTTGTTTTGTGTGACACTTCCCCAATGGCCATTCTACATCTACCCGGGGGAAACTCGCTATATATATGATACCGGGTATGTTCCGACAAACGGGGTTGCATTTTCAGCTAAATTGTCTGAAATGGGATTAGTTTTTTTTTGCCTTGCATTGGAAGGGGTCAGATTTGACTATCTAGAACGGGGTATCATAAATATAAATACAATGTTACACTATTGTTTCAGATAAGGGTGAATGTTTGGTACCATTAAAACGTTTAAACCCGCTGCAACTGTTTGCACCTGTCCTAAGTCAGGAATCTGATGTTCAGTAGTTGTCGTTTGTTGATGTGGTTCATAAGTGTTTCTCGTTTCTTATATAGATTAGACCGTTGGTTTTCCCGTTTGAATGGTTTTACACTAGTAATTTTTGGGGCCCTTTATAGCTTGCTGTTCGGTGTGAGCCAAGGCTCCGTGTTGAAGACCGTACTTTGACCTATAATGGTTTACTTTTATAAATTGTGACTTGGATGGAGAGTTGTCTCATTGGCACTCATACCACATCTTTTTATATCTACTAAATTGAAAACAACGTTCAAACCTATGATTGCGTTGGATAAAAACCGCAATTTTTATACGTGTGCATGCAAAACAAATTTCTTGGTAAAGGGGTCTAAATACAGCACAAACAACATTTTCCAAAACAGTGAAAAGGTATATTTTAACAAAACGGGTATATCAAAAGTTCAGAAAAAGCTATCGTTAAAGATTTATTTTTCATTTTTCATGCCCATTTCATATAACCTTTAAACTGAATTTACAACTTCTTCCAAAGATTTGATATCCACATGTTAATCAATACATAATTTGAATGATCTGAAGGCAGACTATTTTCACCAATTTGTCTATCATGGAATCTGTTATAATACTTCATAATTTGATGCTAAACTGTTGAAATCCAGGAGCTTCTGACCTTCCCCATGGACCCTATTCCAGGGCAACCGGAATTACGCCTCCCGTTCATAAAATCCTGGCCTAGGACTATTGAAATGTAAAGTAATGCCCTATACCCTAGAATTTGGAATTTCTCGTTATTGGTCTACTGCTGTTAAGATCCATCCAATCATTTTAATATACCATAGACAATTAACGGAGAGAATTCGGCATAAAAAATATCCAACCCTGACACTTTAACTATAAAATATACATGCTCCAAGTCAGGAACCGTTACATTAGTGCATTTCACATTTATTTTATGTTTTTTAGCCAAAAAAAGGTCAAAAAAAAAATTTTCGCATCGCTCCGCGATTGTATCCTACGCCCCCTCTTTCAAATATCCTGGAAACGCCCCTGTAAAGTATCCGCAAAAATAAATTGGTTTACAGTATATATGAATAATTTGCTTCTGTGTGTTAAGCAATTAGCACGTCAACACCAACATCTCTTATTGACAAAACAAACTTACATAGTTGAATACAACCACTAACGAGGTTCATGAATAGCAACATGCACAAAAACATGTAGCAGAGCTAACTAATATATTTGTAGATTTTGAAATAATTATACCATTTAACTTAATTGATTGATTGTTGTTGTTTAACGCCACCTGCAGCACTATTGGTTATATCGTCGTGGTCAGTTTTTTATTGGTAGAGAAAGCCGGAATGCCCGGAGAGAACTATCGACTTTCGGCAGGAAAACTGACAATCCTAGTCAATTAAAATTAGAGTCGAACGTACCTGCCACGTGCGGGTTTCGAACTTACAACCTCAGTGTTGACAGGCTAGTGGTACATATAAGTAGATGAACTTCTTAGAGACCTCGGCCGCTGAAGCCCCTTGATCGAGCGAATAACAAAACGTACATTAAAGAATGTACAATTAAAACCAGTACCACTTACATGAAAGAAATAACTATTTGTTCATATCAAGAGAGGTAAATGTTACGACGTCAATGTGTATAATTTATAGGTATGGAAAAATAAACATAAATCTGTATGTGCCTGTCCCAAGTCAAGAGCCTGTAATTCAGTGGTTGTCGTTTGTTGTTGTATATCATATTTGTTTTTCGTTCATTGTTTTGTACATAAATCATGCTGTTTTTTTCTCTCGTTTGGGACATAATGACCAGGGTTGTTTTACATTTGTCATTTTGGTGCCTTTTACACCTGACTATGCGGTATGGGTTTTGCTCAAAGTTGAAGGCCGTACGGTGACCTATGGTTGTTAACTTCTGTGTCATTTGATCTCTGATGGAGATTTGTCTCATTGGCAATCATACCACATCTTCTTATTTTCATAAATTTTAATACAAGAAAACTTACCTAGAGCAGAGTATGAACACTGAAACATATAGACAAAAGGAATTATAGATCTATTACTAACCGTGTCGTCCGTCATTGGTCATTTACATAACATAAATGGTCATATCACATAAATACAACAATAAAGTAAAAAATAATTTAAGAGGAAGTGTACGTAATTAACTACACCACCCATTTTTTTTTAATTTTTTAAATTTCACAAATGGATTCTGCTTGAAAAAAACGCCAGAAAATAAAATAAAAAAGGGGGTAACCGTTTTCGTTTTTTTAGATACGAGCTGTTGAAATTAAAAGCATGATACGCTAAAAATACAAAGGATACATAGGGAAAATCATAAAAACCGGTCGATATTTTTACATTATCAAGATCTTCTATTTTGTTGTTATGGCTATTATAAGGTCAAAAGAAGAACCCTCATATAAAATTTTAACAAAATACCCATACCATATAGTCGGTTATTAAAGGCCCCGGAATGAAAAATGTGAAACATTATAAACGAGCAAACTAACGGCCTAATTTATAACAAAACATTTTACGAAAAACAAATATGACAGACATGAACCAACGACAACCACTGAACCACAGGCTCCTGAAAGCTTGTTTTAAAATTCCGAACTAGATGACAGAATAGAGCTGACTGTGCGAGATCTACATGGATAATCAAGGTCGTTAAACATCCTTTGTAGTAGAATTTGGTAGTATTTCTGCAGAGTTTATGAAAATTGGATGCAATTGGTTTTTGAATTAAAGAAAATTTCAGTCTTTAAAAGTCTATCAATATGTAAGAATCTTAACTCATTTCCCCTCTCATTCCGACAAATATTTAATTGCAGTAACAAGTGTCACATCATTTTCTTGAACCCGCCCCTTTTACCTTATACCTTATATACACTATTCAGTCATAATTTTGAATTGCGACTTGAGAAGAAAAATTTGGTTATAATTTTGTTGTTAGGCGTTTTTACTTTCTGTTGATATAAACATGAGTCTTATTGTGTAGGATACTCAGATTTCTGATTGGAGTCGGTCTGATAAGTTCTTTGAAGTTTTGAGACAGCACAGGCATACTTGTTTGGATTCGTGATAGACCGCATGAAGTAATTTTCTCTTTCGTGTGCCCATTTTACATTTCTTGGAGTAAAAGAGATAACTCGCGTAACTAATGAGAAAGTTGCAAAAGTATAACAGTGGCTAATCATTAGAACAATAAATTGCCGATATTAATAGATCACCGCAAGTCGGAGCAATATAAAAAAAAACAGGTTTTTTCCTATCACAAATATGAGAGAGAGAGAGAAATGTTCGGCAAAAATAGAGGACAGGGATTTGGCAAATGATGCATTTAAGTTAAATGGTCGTTCTCTTAGTTTTTTCTTGGCTGATTAACACTTTAGTGAGTGTAACGTTAAAGACAAGTACATTCCAGATTATTTGACCTACCTGCAATTCAACTTGTACAAATTGAAATATCAAACACACTACTTCAATTAGTCTATGCATGATACATTTATATCTGAAACAAACAATAAAACTGAAATGCTTTATAATAATACGCTTGAATTGAATTCAGGGTAATTTTGAGCTAACACATTGTATAAACATCTGTCTATTTTTGATAAAAAAAAAACATATTTTAACCTCTAGATGTAAAATTATTAATTTGTTTATTTGCTGTTGTTTGGTTGGTGTTTCACTCATGTATATATTCATGTAACCCCATCTCCTTTATTCAAAGACTTGACGTTTGGCATCTGTCTTAAATATCGCTATGATCTTGTCTATAACCATCAACTTCCATTTCATATCTTGACTGAATGAAAGGCTAGGAAATTATCTTATATTGAGTTTGAAAATACTATTGAAAGCAGATAGGAACATGTGTCTGTACCTTTCGCTACTTGTTCATATAGTAAGGTTCAACGAGTTCATATTGTTTGAATTGATATACAGGGGTTCTATGGTGGTCAATTTCATCACTAACGGACGAAAGAAAGTCGTTCAGTCTTACCGCAGGGTCGAGTCACTAATAGTACAATCAAGTTAAATCGGTCTTGAATCATATTTTAAAAAAGACTTTCAATGATATTTTTAATCGCATTGTAACAATTATAGACAGTTCATTTATTTCTAGCACAGTCCATTTGTACATGGTTTAGACATGATCTTTGAATTGCCAACACTAGCCACTGAAATGAATATGCAGTCGTAAGTTCGACGAATAAAACATGCATACGAGAAGATATTTACGATCACATGTCTGGTTTTCATCCACATTGATGTTCCATATTCTCGTCCTTTTCTTTTATGTATTTAAAGCATTCTAATAGAGCGATGTCCGTGTGTCTGGTGTAAATTTTAAGACTTTTCAATTTTGTTAGCAAAATGAGTCAATCTTTATCACATGGCGTATCATGTTCTCACAGTGTGTTATATTTTGCAAACATGTCTTAAGTTGAAATTGTGAAAATTTCTATTTTTTCAGGAGGTTTAAGTTCTTAGATTTTGGTGGCTAAGCGGCAACTCTCATCCAAAAATAGATAGATGGTTACTACCTTTGTACATGTGTTTTTTGTTTAAGGTAACGAGTAGACAAAAAAAAAGGAAAACATTTGGAAAAATTGATTCTTTTATGAAATTCATTATCTCCATATAGGAAAAGAATAATTATGAGTTGAATAGTCATACCAAAGTGGTAAAGTTTTAAGGTCGCCAACACGAGCTGGTTAGCCGTTATGGTATACATCTGTGTCACAGATGACCATGAATATGATTGTCGTAACCAATATCCCGTCATCCTGTCCTCTTTTACTCAATTGTGACATCGCTGAATGAGACTTAACAACACATTTGTCTTTACATTGAGCAACACGGCGGGTGCTACTATAGGAACCGGAGCTGCTTGCCCTACTATAGCACCTGCAATCCCTCAATGTTTTGGTATGGTTTGTGTTGCACAGTGTTTAGTGTTTTGTGAACTGTTTTTTTTTTTTTTTTTTTTTTGTTTTTTTTTTTGGGGGGGGGAGGGGGGGGTGTCGTCTTTCTTTTCTTTGCCATTGCGTTGAAGTTTCTTTCGACTCTTTAGTTATGAATGTCCACTTGATATCTCCTACCTCTTGTTTTTGTTGATTTTACACCGTCAGCTATTTATAAACACCATATTGATACATGTCTTTTTGATGCATTCATGATTTAAATCTTCTTAAATTCTATTAATCAAATTAATTTTTTTGAATTTTGGGGATACACTTTTTTTGGGGGGATACGTGTTATATTTTTTGTTTAAATAGGTATTACGACATTCACATAATAAATTATAATACCGGAATCAATTGTAATCTTATAAACAAAATGCATGTTACGTTTCTTCAAAAGTATGTATAAAAAGATTCATTATAGATTTACCTCCATGAAAATGCAAAAATGGTCACATTCCTAAATCCCTCGAGAACTATATATCAATTTTATTTAAAATGAATAGTTTGATATTGCCTGATAAATGTAGTAAACCTTGAGCCATGTCTTTCCCTGAAGTGTTGACAGTTTTTTGTTTTTTGTATATTTTTTTTTAATATTGTAAAGTGCTAACGCAATTAACACCAACGATACTTCAATTTTAATAAAGAGAGATTCGTCTATGAATGTACCACAAAGAATTCTTATACATTTGTAAGTCTATGGATTTTAACGTCAATTTATTTTACAATTCTTTCTTAAATAGTCATATCAAGATGTCAACACTTATGCTAAAGGTCTTTGTATTTTTTATTAATTAAAAGTCTCAAAATAACAGTATAGTTTATTAAAATGCAAGTTTAACAAAGAAATTGACAGATATTGGAAATTACAATAACAGCTGTGATGTATCATAGTTATTTTCAAACAGTTGTATTATTCAATTTACCGATTTTAATCAAGTTAGACCAAAACGAAATTAAATGCACGTTGTTTTTCTTTTTCTTTTTTTTTTTTTTAATTAAAACTGTTCATAACAAGAGTTAAATAAAATCGGTCAAAGTAAACTTAAGCAAGTAAACAGCGAATACAATTTATTTAACCTCCTTAGATATAAAGAAGATGTGGTGTGAGTGCCAATGAGACAACTCTCCATCCAAGTCACAATTTCCTTAAACTGAATTAGCTGCGGTTGCCACAGTGTTTAGTTAAACGAAAGGTCTCGTCGTTAAAGTCTTCACTGCATACCGAAAAGCCATTGGCGAAAAGAGTACGGGAAGACAATAATTCAATAGCAGTAAATTTCTGAAGATTTTGATACGATAAAGGATTTTGTTTTACACGAAAGCCCATACCCACTTGTTTATAGTAAAAATTAGCTAATCAAGAACAAAGATATAGTCATTTTTTTCAAATTTGCATTTTTATGTGACTTTAAATCCATAATACCTTAAATACTAACATATTCATAATCAGTGATATTACTCATCTAGACTTTTTGCAAGATTTCTTATATTTGCTAAGATTAAAAAGGACAGGCGAGGATCCAGTCACTTTGAAAAGGGGGAGGGGATTCCAACCCACGGCACAACGTTAAACGTTCACATAAAATCGAAAAAAAGGAAAGGGTTCCCCCGGAACATCCCCTTGGTCCGCCAATGAAAGAGGAAGTGTATGTGATAAAAGGTTAAAAATACATTTGTGGCCCTGGGTTCGAACGCACGAGTTATTTAACATATATAGATTACTTCTACGAGCCTATTGTGCATATCATTACACTAAAAATCATTTTATATTAACACCATGAACTCAACTCTCTAACTGAATGAAATTTGACACGTACGGTACCTAGATGCGTATCCAGATTTTTTGAAAAGGGGGAGGCACCGACAAGACAACGTTTAGACAGGGACTTGTAAACAGTATTAAGAAGACCCGTTCTCCACTACCGCCTTCCTAAATCCGCCTCTGGTACCATTACCATTTAAATGAACGTGAATAAGCCTTTTTTGATTTTTTAACTTCATCTTTTATTCATTTTGGTTATTTTTTTATGTTGCCATTATGTGGAACGCCTGTTATCGGAACTTTGCATTTTGTTTCTCCGATATGCCTTCTTTTATTTTTATAATCGATGTAGTTTGATAATCGATGCATATGTTACGATTATCTTTGATGCATTCATGTCTCTCTTCTTCTTTTATGAAATAATACTTTAAAGTTTTAAAGAACTTTTCTTTAGAATTTGAATTCTTTTTTCACAGTACATTTTATAGAGAAAAAACAACATGAAATTACAATTTGACTCACATTATACAATGGTAGAGGAAGTCTTCATTTTTCTTTTTGAATATAAAAGAAATGTTTGCGTTCAATAAAACATGATAAACTAGATCTTATATTTATGATAGTAAGTAGAATCCAATTCGTGTTGAGAGTTTAATAGTAGAATCAGCCGGTACATTCCGAAAATAGTTCCTGAATATAATTATTCTGTAAGATTGAATTTTGATCAATATCATTATTCTGTCGTGTAAAGTGTACATGTAAAAAAACATATATATATATATATCTTTTGGTCTTTTGGAAAATATTGTTTGTGCTGTATTTAGACCCCTCTACCAAGAAAGCAGGGTTTAAGAACATCAGTTGTTCGACCTGTTAGTCAAATGCGTTTTGTTAAAATATACTTTTCACTTTTTTGGTCTTTTGGAAAATGTTGTTTGTGCTGTATTTAGACCCCTCTACCAAGAAATTTGTTTTACATGCACACGTATAAAAATTGCGGTTTTTATCCAACGCAATCATAGGTTTGAATGTTGTTTTCAATTTAGACTCGTTTATATATATATTATTTTTTTAAATATCGCGAACGGTGTCCCCGATCCATATAAACAATCAGATATTGTTTTTCAATTTTTTCTTTCATAAACAATTTTATAGAACGAGAAGAAATCTTGACTCACAAACTTTAATTAAAAAAATGTGTTCCTCCTAATTTTAATGCTTAATCCGCCATCTCTATTAGGTCTATCAATTTGCCAACCGAATTCGCATTAAAAAAAAGAAAATTTCAGCGTAAAAACGTTAAGCATTGAATAGGAATGTGTTATAGACTACCGGAACTCGATCAACCCATTTCACTAAACTGATTATTTGTTTTACACAGAAAAAACCGCGACAATTCATTAAATTGCTGTTTTCCACCATTGATCATAGATGAAAATTGGTAACCTGGACCTATTATTCCGACCTTATATATCAGTCTATGGTATTACCCTCAATGCCGCATGCTTTGCTGAGAAGCGATAGATCTTTGGTTTGACCCAGTCGGGAATTTAGCCTAGGAGCCCCGCATTCTACCGGGCAGCTCCAAAGACTACAAGCTACAAGTTTATATATAAACAAAATCAATACTACTTACTTGGTTCAGAAAAAGTTGGGGTTGTAATTGTAAAACTCCACTCAGTACACACGCTAAATTAGTTGGTAGTATAGGCAAACTTTAACTTCTGTTTTACTTTTTTGGCTTTTTTTTTTAAAGGGAAGCAAAAAAGGAAAGTTATTGGTTTAAAAAATAAAAGTGGAGTATGTCATAGCGGCAAAAAAAAATTTGAATGGCAATTTTCAAAATGATGTGTGAACACTGGTTTGACCCACCTGCTGCATGCAACGTAATTAGCGGTCTATAATGATAATAAGGGGATGGCAATTTTTTTTTCAAACTGAACTCGTAGGGTTAACAGAGGTATAGAAGTATGGTTTCCCTATCCCGGCAGATAAACCCTTGCTTAGACAGGGTGTTCATACAGCTGGATTTATAAATACACAGCCTCGTATAGGGCAGTCCATATATGAGGGTCTGAATGGGGGAGGGTGTCCTTCATTTCTGTATTCTTTAATTTTTATGGCCATTTTTTCTATTCTTTATACGTTTTGCCCATTATTCCGTATTCTGTAAACCCCCATCCACACCCTCATATATCTCACTCTTCTTACTTTGCAGAACCTACATATAGTACTAATCGTTAATATATTCTCATCCTTAACATGCTTGAAATATTTGGCATTGGATGTTCCGACCTTACGAAGATACCTATAGCGTTTACTTATACGCAACTTCCCGCACGACTGGACTGACGCTCTTTCTTGGCAAAGGTTTAACTGTTGGGTGGATTAGGTCCAGCTGACCATATTTCTATATCCTTTCAGTGGTCTTTCGTGCTAAGAGCTTAGAGTGAAAGTCTTCAAAATTTAAAACCTTATTACTCCAGAAAAGTGCTTTGAATCCTTTGATTCGTGTGTCTACCAGATTTCAACATTAATCATTCATTAGTTAACCGAATATGTTGCATATACCCCCCCCCCCCCCCTTCCATATACCCAGTTTTATTTAAACAGTAAGCAGAGCTTTTTACAGAGATGTTTTGGGATAAATTGAAATTTCCTTAATTACAATAATGTACGAAAAGGGTTCTGAATGGAATTATTAATAAATGAGTATTTAACCATTTCTGAAATAAACCAAATGAATAAATGAATTAACACACTAGTAAAAAAATCATCAAAAAATACTTTTGATAGCTTACCATTTAGAGATAGCAATAATACTTCCAAATTGATTTAACTAAACTCAATTAGTTTCAACGCAAAATGACATCTTCTTTATCTTATTCCATGGTTCTTACATAAAAAGCCTCGGTCTGCAGTAGAACTCTATTAGTATTGAACTTATATTTAATGGTACGTAAACTTCCAAGTCGATATGGTATACTAATTGTATAAAGATCAATAACTGCTTATATATATTTGATACCTTCTTTATAACCAATCAAATTTGATTTTGACATTAAGTTTGTTCGGAGATCAACGATTGATTGATTGATTGATTGGTGTTTAACGCCAATTTCAGTATTATTTGCTATTTCATGACGGTCAGTTTGTATTGGTGGAGGAAGCCGGAGTGCCCGGAGAGAACCACCGAGCCTTTGCAGGAAAACTGCCAATCCTTGTCAACTAAGATTGGAGTCGAGCGCACCTGTCACGCGCGGGATTCTAAATCACAACCTCAGTGTTGACAGGCTAATAAAACAGTAATTAAACTACTTACACCACTTGACCACCAAGGCCCCTTGAAGATCAACGACACAATTGTTATTTCTTGCAAGGACATGCGACAAAAAGTTTTTATCAGTAACGATTGTAAAATAAAGATACGAAAAAAACAACAAAACGTAATCAGAAGAAGAGATAAATGTTTAACCAAAAGAAATAATGTTAATATAAGTATTAATTACAATTGACTTGAATCAAACTTCATCTTGAAAAAAAACGTATCTACGTAAGTACTACAAAGACTACAGCAACGAAACACCAATACTGTGATAAAATCGTAAATAAAAAGAGCAAACAAATTACGAAGATATATAATTATTAAAATATTCCTTTAATAATTAAATGTCAGCACAATACCAACTGCATCGCCAGCGAAATGACGGAA